TGGAATTTGTTAGTGTGGAGGTGCTAGTTTTACATACAGCTCAATTATGTGTTAGGTAGAGAATGCATTATAAAATGCAGTAAAGTGAAAAGTCAGCTGTCTCATCCTTTGCCTTCTTTCCTTTCCTTTTCTTTTATGCATGAGGATTGAGTCTGTGGCCTTTGCACTGAGCTACATTCCCAGCCCTTTCCTATTTGTAATTTCTAAGTTTCCCAGGCTGACCTTGAACTTTGAACCCTCTTGCTTCAAGCTATAAGAAGACTGGCATCACAACAGTGTGCCACTAACCCCGTCCTACCAGTTTCTTCCCATTTGCCCTTAGCTTACCATTTTCCTGTCTTTATTACAATACCATAGATACCTGCCCCTTTTTCTGTATTACACTTGCCTCAAGGTTTCCCCTACAGCTACCTATTGTGAAATCACTGTCACTATAATGGGTGTTTTATTATGAATATTGTTTTTAATTTCATAAAATAATTAAGAATACTAACAGTTGATACATTGTGTATCATGATCTTCAAAGAATGTTCAAAATGTCAAAAAGGGTCTCTTCTAAAAATAAGCAAACATGAAAGGACAAACTGTCTTTTCCATAAACAAAAGAAACCAGTAGTATAAGTGAAACAAAAAATATTTTTGAAAGATTGGAATAGATAATTTGGGGATATAACTAGTGGTTTCTTTGGTTTGTTTTTGTTTTTTATGAAACAGGCTTTCTCTGTAGTGCAAGCTGGATTGAACTCACTTATGTAACATGGGCTGGCCTCAAATTCAGAGAAATCCTCCTGCTTCATCTTCTTGAGTGCTGGCATTATAATGTGTGCCATAAAACCTGGCATAATGGGTGGTTTAAAAAATGTTTTCCAGATTGAGGAGAAGGAAAAAGCCAAGCAACAATACCGAGCAGCTGTCAGCCAAGGCCATGGCGCATATCTGATGGACCAGGATGCACCGGTATGCACACATGGAGGATTAATACGAAACTCACACTAGACACCAGGATAATTTACATAGTGCTGGGCTTGTAAGATCCCTTATAAGTAAGGGATACCAAGCTGATCAGACCCATTTGATCTATATAAAAAAGAAGAGGAAACAGTATCAGTACTATCCAGCAAATAGGACAAACTCTTCTGGCATTGGGAACAAAGTTTCCAAAGATTAATAGCAAAAAGAACACATGAGCTACATGATTTTATTTATTTATTTATTTGTTTATTTATTTATTTATTTATACTTATTTTAAAAAGAATATAGAAATAATAGATAAGACATGAAAAAGATGCACAATTTTATTTTTTTTATTTTTTTAACTTCTGCAAAGCTTTATTCCAGAGGGGCTCAATCCTTCTTGGCAGCTGGCTTCCTCATGGTGGCCAGCATGTTGCTGAGCTCCTCACACTTCCTCTTGGTGAGTGTGTGTCCCACCCTCTTCTTGATGAACTTGAGGGAGCGCTTGTCCTTGGAGACCTTGAGCAGCTCCATAGCACACCGCTCATAGGGGACTAAGCCTCACACCTCCCAGATTATGTCCCACACAAACTTGGTTTTGGTGAAATGTCTGTGGTAGCAGCTAAGCCTCAGTTTGCTCACATTCTTAGTCACCTTGGGGCCTTGTTGAGGCCCACAGCCATAGGATAGCAGAGGGCTATGGCTACTCTGCTTCGATGGTTTCTCAAGATACACAATTTTAAAACTTGATGGGTATTCAAGAGTGGTTGTTATATTGCACAATGCTGTCCTCAATGTAGTTGCTCAGATTATAGATATTACCATATAGAGTTGGTCAAAGTAAAAATTTTAAACATTAACTGCTACCTTCAAAAAACTGATAGAAATTAGTAGTACAATAATCTTAGCTATCCTGTGCATATTCTTACATGATTTTCCCCATTTTTCTCCTATCTTTTCTCCTTTTCCTCATCCCAATTATTCATTCCTTATGTTCAGTTTTTTTCACTTTTACTATATCTATTGTCCCTTTCAGATTTAATTGATTTTTTTTCAGGTTCTTACACTAGAAAAACAATACGATGCGTACACATATGAATCTAATTTATTTTACTTTTGAGGAGAGCCTCATGTTATATCCAGTTACCTATAAAAGTCTCAAGTTTATCTTTATAGCTGAGTAATACTCCATTTTATAAAAGTACCACATTTTTTAATCTCTTTTTTTGTTGAAGGGCATTTGAGTTGTTTCCAAGATTTAGCTTTGGCAAATTGTGCCGCTATAAACATGGATGCAAATATATCATTGTTGTATGAATTTTTCAGTTTTTTGAAAAGATACCCAGAAGGGAAATAGTTGGATTGAATGTGACTTCTAATCCTAGTTTTTTGAGGAGTCTCCACATTGCTTTCCATAGTAGTTACACCAGTCAGCATTCCCACTAACAGCAGAAAAGGGTTCCTTTTCTCCCACAACCCCTCCAGCATTTGTTATAGTTGCTTTCTTTATGACAGCCATTCTTTCTGGAGTCAGACACTATGTTCACATTGTTTTAATTTATATTTCTTTTTTTTTTTTTTTTTGCAGAACTGAGGATTGAACTCAGGCCCTTGTGCTTGCCAGGGAAGCACTTATTCTACTGAGCCATCTCCCCAGCCCCTAATTTATATTTCTTGAATGACCCATGCTGTGGAACATATTTTCATGTATTTATTTACCATTTGTATTTCTTCCTCTGGAAAATGTCTATTCATCTTAGATGCTCATTTTTGGATTGGGTATTTGAATTTTGGAGGCCTGGCATTTTTTTAGTTCTTTGTATATTCTAGATAGAAGTCTGTTGTCTTGGTGACTGTTGCTTAAGATTTTTTCCCAATTTGTGGGTTTCCTTTTGACTAAAGGAATAACAACTACAGTAGTCCCTCACTATTTCGTGGTTTGACTTTTGCCGATTCATTGGTGATTTCTTTTGATGTGCAGAAGCTTTTCAGTAAGATGAGATCCCAGTTGTTGATTCTTCAAAGTATTTCCTGAGCAGTTTGAGTTTTATTCTTGGACTCTACCTACCTCCT